CAAGTAAGAAAAAAAGGATATTTTTATGTATTTATTTTTATTTTATCCTTTATTCAAAAAAGATAATTACAACATACTCTTTTTATTCAACTATAATAGATTTAGTTTTTTTTATCAAATAAAAATAAAATAGAGATGTAATAATTTATTGATAAAATTTTATATTTATCCCTAATTAATTATTATTTAGATAAGCTTTTTGATTTAATACTTCTATAATTAGCAATTTTCATTTTAAAATAAAGGTAAAATAAGAATAAAAACATTAAATAAATTTCTAAAAAGGAAAAATAAATAACTAAATTTGAATGTCTTAAATTAAAAAAATAGGGCTAGTAAAGTTGAATAGAGAGAGTATTTTTTTTTTTTTCTAACCCCAATGGGGTGGTTCAATGGTTAAAAACTTGAAATTCCAAATTGGAGATCTCAAGTTCAAATCTTGAGTCAAGTGAGAAGGGATTTAGGGAAATATGAGGGCTACCCCCTCTTATATAGTCCATTCAAATATATATATATATATATAAAGAGAGAGAGAGAGTATTTTTTTAATGAGTTCACTTTTTAAACCCTCTAATTTCTCATTTATTACTGTCTATATTTTCCGAGCTCAACTAAAAATTACTAATAAAGGTCATATTTGTTGTAGTGTTAGACCACTATTAATAGCCGCCATTAAGTCTCATCCTTATAAAATTAGTCAATAAAACTTAATGAGTGTTAACCTATACTTTTTTACTAATTAGATAGATGGTTTTTCTTTTTTAATTTTTGAAAGGCCTTTTGAAATTAGAGGAAAATCTTCCTCTTTTTGGATTAGGTGATGGACCTGTATGTTGTATATGCACCAATAATTTGTATCTTATTGGTGAATTACACTAAATATTCAAATACTATTAGGTACTACTAAGGATTTATTTGGTATAATGGTTAAAATTTGATGAAGAGCAATGCCAGGGGCACTCGCCTCTTGCATTCTCCAGTTAACACTTCCCCTTTCATTGGGCCACATAAGCTTGTTTCAGGCTTAGAGGCGCAACCTCTTACCAACCAGAATAATGTAGCCCAAAAAAAAGTGAAAGTGTTGGTCGGAGAGTGCAGAAAGCGAATGCCCCTTGTACTCCTCTTTGATGAATAGCAAATAGTGAGTAGTAGATAGTAAATAGTAGAAAACGGATAGTAAATAGCAAATAGCAAGTAACAGATAATAGATAGTGATAGCAAGTAACGAGTGACGGTTAGTGGATAGTAAGTGGCAGATAGTGGAAAGTCTGTAACGAATAGTAGATAGCAGATTCAATGAATATAACTGTTTGGTTATATAATTGTCACGCCCCAGAACCCAAATCCGGGGACGTGACAGACGCCGTGCACTCGTGAGACGAGTCCCACAAGTGCACAAGGCTCGGAACTTAATCATATCATACTCTGATACCATCAAAATCTGAAGATCAAATCTTTAAAATTTACTCTGATATCATAAATCTCCAAATACATTCTAGTTTACAAGATCATGATTTACTTCTACAATCTATATCAATCCCGAAATGGCTAGCTTTCTAACTCGTCACTTCCCGTGGTTTCCCCGTCCTCGGTTTCACTTCCTGAAATAGTGGACAAGGAAAAACTATGAGATAAACTCAGTAAGTAAATATGGAGTGCCCTTAATTAAACTTATAGCATGCCAACAAGTACAATCACGAAAAACGGATACAGTATGGGCACGAAATAGACGTCTCCTCTATAGGTCACGGCCAGTGTATAATCCCCACTAGCAGAGCCACGATTTGCTGGTGTATAACCCCCACTAGCAGGGTCAGTATTTGCTGGTGTATAACCCCCACTAGCAGGGTCAGTCGAACGAACCGGTCCTATCAATAACATGTCGACATGTGCTAGCGTTTAACCCCTACTAGCAGGGTCAGTAATAACACGACCACATCAGAGACAAAACAGGCTGAAGTTAATAGAAAAACATAATTCACCAATCACTTTCAAATAATCAGGACAATCAATCAAATTTCAAGTAGACATGCTCAATTTAATGAAAGCATAAAACATTTCACTTCAAATCAGTCACACTTGTGTAAAACGGGTTTAGTCCCGCCACCACTTCAAAAACAAATCAAAACATGCTTTTAAAACAGTACGGGCATTACCATAAATTACTTACCTCACTCGCATAAAACCGAGCACTCACTCTCAGTGCTAACTGACAAAACGATCGAGGACCTAATCAAAATATCCACAATTAATACCACTATCACAAATTCACACTGAAATCATCATTAGGATCATTCCTAATCACAATGCTATTTCTATCACTTTCCACATGATCGAACATCTCCAAATTCGTTCTCATATCACAACTAATCATTTAAATCCCCGTTAATTATTGGCCCCGGGGTGTGAACAGTGTTCTGTGAACAGTACCCGTGAACAGTGCCATGAACAGTAACTGCACTTCCACAAATGGCCAAAACACTAGCTAATCTCACGGGATTTTACTCCAAAAATCACAACAAGCAATTAACACTCAATCACATAAATCCCACTTCAATTAAGCTAAATCATGGTCCTAAAGCTATCGAATTCTTCCCCATTTTTCTAGCAAAATTCGGACATACAAGGCAGCAAACAAAATGGACAATTTAAGCCTTAAAAGGCTGTCACATACCAGAATTTTCCAGCAAGAACCGGACCTAGCAGGGGGAAGAAGGCCGGCGGCAATCTGCAGGGGGAAGCTCTCGGGTTACCCAAAGTTGGAGGAACAAGAGCAATCAAAGTTAACCCAAGCCAATTCAAGCAAGAACAAAGGAATTAGGGGCTGTTCTTACCAGAAAAATGCCCAGAAATCACCCACAATCAAGAGCAGCCGGCGGAAGGACAGAGCAAAGCAGGGCAGATCCGGATTCTGCAGAGAGGGAGGGGAAATTTCTGGGTTCTTTATG